AACTGTTTTCACATGCATGGAGTTTGATTTCCCTTCCACTAAAAATATGGAGTGTGTTTATAAAATCCTTTTGTAAACCAAATCCTCTACCTTCTCCAATTTCACTTGATTGAAAAACCATTTGACGGAGCTCGCCGATTCTAATCTGGTTGAGTCGCATCTATCTGCGTCAATGGGATCAGAATGAGACTATGGGCAGTTATGCATTGTATGTATTTGGACAGGTATTGGGTACTCCCTCTTTCTGTTTGGGATCAATGCATAGTTCTTTGCTGCATGTGTTTTGTGGTTTTATTTTGCTACACTGAGCAGAAGCGAATGTTAATGATTTATGATGATTATGATTAATAATTTACGCTGCAGAAGCTGATCTTATGTGAAAATCAAATGTCCAAATTAAATATAATGTGTGATTACATTTGTTTATAATCTTTGATAGAAATTTTATTTACAAATAGTTACAAAGTTTGAGTAATAAGCAAAAGGTACCAGATGCTTCTGAGAGCATCCAAAGGTCTGGGGCTTTGAGCGTCTTCTCTGCGGGGCACACGGTGACGGGACCAAAACTCTTCAGCCCTGTTTGATATCCCACCAAACTGTGTGTGGTTTTTGAATGTGCTCCGGCTTTTTATGTCACTCATTGACATAACGTTTGGAGGTGTCAGAAGGGCCCATTTACACCTCCTATCTGGCAACTCAGCTTCTATGATGATTTTACTGCACAAACACCTTGTCACTTTCTGTCTGACAAATGCTATTTTATAAGTGTATAGTAATGATAACGATTATTTACTCACTGTTGATTACGTTACATCACTGTTTATAAATGACAGAACTGCAGAAGTTAAAAATGAAGTTGACTTTTGTGTCCTATTCAAAACATTCTGATTTTGGAGTCAGGAGTCACAATAAATAAACAATGTAAAAATAATGATTTAAGTTAGTAGGGCTGCAACAACCAATCGATATTATCTATTAAAAAAAGGATTATTAAAAGTGTTGGCAACGATTTTCATTATAGATTTTTTTGTGTCGCGTGATTAATACATCACCGACTGCATCGCAGAGCTCATGTGAGATGGGCGCATTCATGTACAGCTGTGTTCAGACCAGTGGGGGCGGGTCCCGGCTCAAAAGCCAAAATGACGTGCGCTGACGTGCATGCAATACCGCCCCGGGTCGATGGGGGTGGTATTCTAATAAGAATTAGCCAATGCTAACATATAGACCTCTCGAAAACGTCTTTACAGGATGGTCCAAAAGTTGGCTCTTGGCCCAAAGCTCCGTTCCACATGTGTGTCAATGCTGAGGGGGGTGAATTTTTTGGAGCACTCTAGTTTAGTCGCTGTGATTTTTTGAAGGCACACGTTGAAATAATGGGGCCATAGACCGCAGAAGTTGCCCATAGACCGCGGAAGTTGTGACACATTAGTTAGTACGCCGGAGAGAGGCGAGACTACGTCCGTTAATATTTACAGTCTATGGTTCAGACGATGCACGTGCGTAGATGGAGGTATGGAAGCACTTTCACTAAACATCAGCTGCATGAGTTTAGTCAAGCTGAAATGCCGCTGTACTTTCCTGCGTTGGACAAAAATGCAGGACGGAAGAGGTGGGCGGGGTTTGATGCTAACGCTGGTACTTCCGCATCGGCGAACACGTTAGAAACACTTATTTATAGTCACAGTAGAAGCTCAGGGTGAAGACGTATGTTCTAAGCACCACGTTCTCCATTGCTCTCTGATTGGTTGCCGCATGTGTGTGGAGTGAGTATGTTCATCTACTGGTTTATTTTTTTTATTTTTAACCGATTCATCAAATAATCGACGAATTAATCGATTATTAAAATAATTGTTAGCTGCAGCCCTAGAAGCTAGGTAATCATGCAGAAAAGAAAAAAAAAACTTCCTTGCCTTGCCTGGATCCGATCAGTCTTCTGCAATATGCAATATCAGTAGCTAAATGTGCACTGACACCAGCAAAGCATGGACATGTGTGTGTGTGCGCGTTGGTGTGTGTGTGTGTGTGTGTGTGCGCGTGTTGGTGTGTGTGTGTGTGTGTGTGTGCGCGTTGGTGTGTGTGTGTGTGCGCGTTGGTGTTCATTTACACAGAAAAAATTCTATTTAACATTATGAATCTAATTGTTATTTCTCTTTGCCCTGTGTGTTGGAGCTCAGTTCAGTTAGTCGGAGTTCAATGCAAATAGCACCCTTGAATCTATTATTCCAGATATATTTTGTTTTAACCGCACATAATTGCACCAGCACAAGACCCATTGCAGACATTAACGTTCCATTGGAGGAAGCAGAGGCCCTATTGCTCTCCTTCATGAGCCCAGAGGGGACAGTTAGAGCCAAGGGCAGACCACGGGAGACACACTGGTCCTCTCCTCCAAGCAGTCTGCAGGACATCATGAACTCAGATGACTTTGTCTAATATTTCCCTGGAGTTAGTTTGTCCCTGCAGGGCTGCTGTAGGTGCGCACCCAAAGATAACTCATGTCTAATTGTCTCTGTTTATGTGTGCAGCATATTCAAAATAACAGCTGCACAATTTGATTTAAACAAGTGTTAAACAGCTATAGGGTATTAAGTAAAAAGCAGACAGGTCCTGCAGGAAGTAGCAGGTTTTCCGTTGGTTATGGAAAACACTTTCTCACACATAAAAAGCTTTATCTCCACGCTTGCAATGACGGAAGTTACTGGTACATTGAACATGTCAAGGGAATCCTAACTGCAGTATTCTACAATCTAGCTGGTGTTAAATAAAACATAAAATTTACTTCACACAAGTCTCACATTAATACAGTAGAATAATAGTAGTGTAAATATGTTTAATATCAATTACATTTTGGATGGAGTAATAGAGTGGTATGGCGATCCAAAGATTAAAAATAGCAGAGCAGTGCATGGTCACCATGTCATTTTGAACAAAATAAAAAATAAAATAAAATTTAGAGGGGGCCAGGCTTACAGGCGGTAAGCCTGGTTTGGCCCCTGGGCTCCACATTGAATAAGCCTATGCCTTGTGAATGAGAAGATTTTATTCATACATGTAATGTCTAGTTGTTATGAGAAAAAGTTATGGGTAAAAAGACACTCTGGGAATTAAGTTGTATTGCTTTGAGTTTTCTCTACCTCTGATGTATCTATTTTATAAGGTGTGTTGTTTTGACTGATGTTAGATTTTGGGCACAGGGAAGATAGAAACTTGTCAAAAGAAACAACTCAAAATCAGGGAATCGCATAGTGGACTTTTCCATCCAAGTGGAGCCATACAAATATTTTCAAACCTATATTTAAGCAAGTAAGGACGCTGGGCATTTTTAGTAAAACCTGTATTTTTGCTCAGTGGAATGATCCTTGATTTGTGTCAAAGTCATGTGCTAACTTCAGCATAATCAAACTATCTATTTATTTCCCTTTTTCAAAAATTAAAATAAAAAACGTTCAATCTTATTTCCAGTCTTCATGGGATATGAGGGCGTTTTACAGTGTGGGTAAGAAGCAGGCGAAGCTTGGAAAGTGTTATGTAAAGTGATAACAGCCCAGTTTAAAGTCTCACAGCGGCTCCCTCGACACTGATCAGACGCAGCAGTGAAAGAACATGCATTACACACATGGCTGTGCGTTGGGGAACTGCAGAGACTCGTCCTGTCTATAGGGGATGGTGATGGCACAGCTCTCTGACATGGTCTTGTACTCCTTTCCTCCATATGCATGAGCAGATCATGTGTGCTTGTGTGAATCTTCAAAGCCAGATCTATATTTTCAAAGACGCCATTTGAAAAGAAATAAACACATTACTTACTTTTGCTTCCATTTTTCACGACTTCAACGTAAAGCTAACTTATGCACAGATGTAAACATACTGCTGCTAATGTACAGATGTAAACATACTGCTGCTAATGTACAGATGTAAACATACTGCTGCTAATGCACAGATGTAAACATACTGCTGCTAATGTACAGATGTAAACATACTGCTGCTAACTTATGCACAGATGTAAACATACTGCTGCTAATGTACAGATGTATACATACTGCTGCTAATGTACAGATGTAAACATACTGCTGCTAATGTACAGATGTAAACATACTGCTGCTAACATCCATCCATTTTCTTCCCCTTAATCCATCTCTGGGTCGGGGGGGTGGCAGTCAGAGCTGCACCCAGTTCACAGAGCACCAGCTCCTCACTGATCCTCCTGCAGGTGGTGAGTCCACAGGAGCTGAGTTCTTTCAGTGGTAGCTTCAGGCAAAGTGGGGTTAAGTGTCTTGCCCAAGGACACAACGACAGCAGTCATCAGTGGGAGTCGTGAAGTAGGTCTTACGGTGGGCTCGAACCCACAACCTTCAGGCTCAAAGGCCAATGCTCTACCAACTGAGCTACTGTCGCCCCTGACAGATGTAATGTACAGATGTAAACATACTGCTGCTAATATGTACAGATGTAAACATAATGCTGCTAATGCACGGATGTAAATACTGCTGGTAACATGCACAGATGTAAATACTGTACTGCTGCTAACATGTACAGATGTAAACATACTGCCGCTAACATGTACAGATTGTGGCATATTGAAAGGATATGGGAATAGATTTAAATGAATGTACCAAAATTGAATGCCTGGATAAATGAGTGAAAGTAATGATCAGCCACGCCATGGAAAATACCAAAGACACACAGATTCGATAACTTCAAAGAGAAATGAAATACCAGACTCCATCCTGTACAAAATGGTGGTTTATTAAGGTGAGGGCCGTACCATTGATACTTCAAGCATTGTTAATTTATTCAAACTATAGGAATTTCATTTTTAATACATTTAAAGTTAAAACTGCCCACTCAGGATGGGACCTGTTTAAAATTAGAGGGCTGAGGCTACAGTGGGAAGTTGTGGCAAAAGAAAGAGGGGAGTTAGCAACTGGACGAGGAGTAGAACCCCCTGGCACAGCAGACACTACAAAACACAAAAAGGGGAACCTAGACCGTTCGGCTCAAACACCACCACCAGGGGTCACCAGTGCACCCACATGGAACCTCAGCTCCTAAAACAAAAGTAAAGTTTAGTGCAGATAACGATACACTTTCATCCCAGAATCACAGACAGTCAGGTCAAGTTTACAGTATATTCGTTAACAATGTAGAGTCCAACATAATCTCTAGGCAAAACAACAGTGAGCGCTTCAATATGGGGCCAGGAGAAGCGTTGCGGCTGGCTATCATGGGCTGGCTCACAGGGAGTGCTGTTAATAAAATAGCCTGTTAGGAGCTAATGTGAAAAATTCATATACAAAGATAAATGCTTTTTTTTACCTTGTTACTTTCGATGAAGAGGACTAGAAAGTACGTTCAAGTGGGTTCAATAAGCCCACACCACTGCTGAGATGTTTAGAATTTAGTTTACTATTTAAGCCATTTTCATTACTCTCCTTTTCTTACCACTTCAATACTCGAGGCAAAAGGCAGGCAGCCTGCATGGGACCACAGGACCACTCAGGTTTGGGGACTTGAGCTAATGTTGAGGGATTTAACCTCCCTTGGCATTGTGCAAAGCCAGGACCAGGCTAACCCACATGAGCTGCAGCGGCGTAGCAGAGCTGTCACTAGGGGAACACACTATTACTAGACTATTTAAATGCCCCCAATTGACCCCAGAGCATTATACCTATGACAGAGTGCGCGCGCAGTCGCGGCTGCAGAGTGTAAGGCAGCCCCTCGTCAGCCTGGAGGGACAAAGATACAGAGCTCGAAGTGTGTTTTCTAACCATTGCATGTGTAATCATTAACATTGCACTAGCGCAGCATCTCGTACCTGGCCAGACGCAGACTGGGAAGCAGCAGGGGGGGCGTGTCCAAAAGGGGCGCACCCGAGAGAGAGACGCGCATTTATAGAGCGAACCAAATGCTGTGTCTTAAGGGGACAGGCGCGACCCGTTTCAAGCACAGTTTAATTCATATTGTCACACCTACCCCCCCCTTTTTGGGTCGACGTCCCGGCGACCGAGGTTAACTACACTACCAAACAGCTCTAGGTCAAGGGCCTGGTGATGCAGCAGCCCCGTGCGCCGTTCCCACTGTTGGTCGTGGAAGTCTATTGAGGTTGGAGTGCTGTCCTGCTGTGACTCTGGTAGTCCTACGGAAAGTTTGTGCCCCACTGGCCGGCGGAGGGGTGACATCTGGGGGGGCCGCGGGTGGAGGAGGAGGCAAATGTTTGTTGGCAGATGGTGGGGCTGTTGACACCTTAAGAAACAAATCCACCTGCGCGTCCTCTTCGGTTGACATAGAGTCAAAAGACAAATCAGTGGGTGGAGGGGCACTTGTGCCTGCAGGGACAGGTTTGAGAAGGGACCGATGAACTCTTTTTACATTGGTCAGGTTGTCAAGGGGAGCGATTGTATATACCGCACCTCCGTCAAGGTGGACTTCAACCACCTTGTACACGTTTGGGCTCCACCGGTCCTGAATTTTATGTCGACCCCGGAAACCAGTGTTTCGTATAAGCACCAGTTGCCCTTCCACTAATGGGGGGTCCCGGACCTGCTCATCGTTATTTCTCTTCCTTCGGTCCGCAGCAGTCCCAAGTCTCGCACTGGCCTTCTCGAAAGCAATCCGCAGGCGGGTTTGGTGCTCTGTGACCCACTCATGGACGCCCCCAGCAGCGGGCTCAACTACTCGACTGAGAAGGAAGTCCATGGGCAGCCTGGGTTGTTGGCCAAACATCAGGAAGAATGGAGTTTCCCCTGTGGACTGGTGTGGCGTGGTGTTATAACAGAAAAGTACCTGGGGCAAGTAAGAGGGCCATGCTCTCTTGTGCGTTGTTGGTAGGGTACGCAGCAGGTCATGCAGTGTCCTATTGAACCTCTCACACTGTCCATTTCTGGCGGGGTGGTAAGGGGTTGTCCTTGACTTTACTATCCCATATAACTGACAAAGTTGCTGTATAAGGGTACTTTCAAAATTGCGACCCTGGTCTGAGTGAATTCGGGCTGGCACGCCAAACTTTGAAAACCACTCGGTCACTAGCACCTGGGCGACCGTCTGGGCCCGCTGATCTCTGGTGGGAATGGCTAGGGTGTATTTGCTAAAAACATCGGTGAGGACAAGCACATCCTCCCTGCCATCTTGGGACTGTTCGAGTACAGTAAAGTCCATTGCCAGAGTCTCATTGGGCCGCGAAGCTAGCAAATGTCCCATATAAGTCCGTATGGAGGGATTATTGTCCTTTGCCACTTGACACCTCTCACACGATCTGCACCAGTCTGCTACTTGGGAGGACATCTCTGGCCAGTAACACCTTGCTCTTAAGAGTGCCAGTGTCCGCTCCACGCCTTGATGGCCATGGTCTTGGTGGGCGTTAGTCAATACTTCATCCTTTAAAACCGCCGGCAGCAGCACTTGGAAAGCCTCCTCTGCATAATTCGGGCGGAAAATCCGGCGGCAGAGTACACCATCTCTTTCGGCAAGGCGACTCCACTGCCGCAGGAATCCCAATACAGATAACGATAGGCCTTGACGCTCATTGTACGTGGGTCGCCGTTGCCGCCTCCAAAACTTTAAAACTTCCTCGAGGGCAGGATCCGCCTGCTGAAGTGCCTGCATATTGACTGTGGTACGGTCTGGTAAGACTGTGATGGCTGCTTGCGAAACCTCTTGCCTTTCCACCAACTCCTGCAGGGACTTTGGCAACATGCTCCCTGGGACCGCAGAATTAATGTCTTCTGCCACTGGGGGGTGCTGTCGGGACAGGGCATCCGCATTTCTGTTGCTCCGACCAGAGCGGTACTTTATGTCAAAGTCGAAAGATGCGAGTTGGGCCGCCCACCTATGTTCAGTGGCACCCAGCTTTGCAGTGGACAGGTAACTCAGGGGGTTATTATCTGTTAGTACCAGGCACTTGTGCCCCAGTAGGTACTCCCTAAACTTCTCTGTCATGGCCCACTTAAGGGCCAAGAACTCTAATTTCATGGAGCTGTAATTATCCATGTTCCTTTCTGTCGGTTTCAGTCCCCTACTGGCATAAGCAACAGGACGCACAACTCCCTCTTGTTGCTGGGACAGGACCGCCCCTAGTCCACCGTGGCTGGCGTCCACCTCCAAAATAAAGGGTAGAGTAAAATCTGCATACGCCAAGACAGGGGCATTAGTGAGTCTACTCTTCAATTCTTGGAAGCTCGCTTCACACTGCTCAGTCCATGCCTCGTTGAAGTCATGCTTGGACCCTTTTGGGGGACTTTGGCCCGCCCACCAGGCGATTGAGGGGTGTAGCCAGCTTAGAAAATCCCTCCACGAATCGCCGGTAGTAGCTTGCGAAGCCAATGAACGACCTTAGCTCGGTGATTGTTGTTGGTCGAGGCCAGCCAGCCACTGCCTCAATCTTGGCGGGATCAGTTGCGACGCCTTTATTGGATATGACATGCCCGAGATATCTGACCTCTTGCTGGAAGAACGCGCACTTTGCGAGCTTGACCTTAAGGTTCTGGGTTTGCAGCCTGCCGAGGACAGTCCCAAGCCGCTCAAGATGCTGTTCTACTGTGGAGGAGAACACAACAATGTCATCAAGGTACAGAAGTAAGGACTGGTATTGTTGATCACCAAATATACGTTGCATCAGCCGCTGGAAAGTGCTGGGGGCATTACACAGTCCAAACGGCATTCGATTGAATTCAAATAACCCAAACGGAGTACAGAAGGCAGTCTTCTGACGATCCTCTTCTGCAACAGGCACTTGGTTATAGCCGCTGGCAAGGTCTAATGTTGAGAACCAGCGCGCTCCAGTCAGGGCATCCAAGGACTCTTCGATACGGGGGAGGGGAAATGCGTCCTTGTGCGTCTTGCCATTAAGCTGCCGGTAGTCCACACACATCCTTAGACTACCATCCTTTTTCCTTACCAACACAATAGGGGACGCATAAGGGCTGCTGCTTTCCCTTATCACCTGAGCACTTAAGAGCTGGCTAATGTGGTCTTTAACAGCTTCATAGTCTGAAGGCGGGATACGTCTGTACCTCTGCTTTACAGGGGCATCATCAATGAGGGGGATATGATGGCTAATCAGGCTTGTGCAACCAAGGTCACCATCATGAGCTGCAAAAACTGGGGTGTACTCCCTGATCAAGCTCCTGACCCTACACTGATCCTCCTCAGACAAGTGTGTCAAATCAATCGAATCAATCTGATCTTTTACCGCTGGGCCCGCAGTCTGTGACAAAAGCTTAGCAGCGCAAGTGGGCTCTTCACTAACCCCTGTCGGCAAACTAACCACATTTACAGAACGCAGAGATCCGATTATAGTACGACGGTAGAGTAATACATCAGTAGACCCCACGTTTACTATAGGTATATAGGCCAAGCCTTGCACTACACTGACCAATGCCGGGGAAGCAACTAAACCAGCCGGTAATCCTTTCTCTGGGGGCTCGAAGAGGACAGAGGTGTTGGAAAACTGCTCAGAACACGTTGCCGCAACCAGTTTCATCACTCCCCCAGGGATCCGCCAGACTGATCGACCGCTCACTTTTACATTCCCACAGTCTGGAGGGTCCTGGGAACTATAATGGCACATTTGCAACGCTTTCCACATTTGTTTTGGGGCACTGGACACATAATCACTACCAAACAATGCTGCACCATGTTGCCCGAAAAGCTCGAAGTAACATTTCTGAATTACGTTCATGCCAAGAACACCAGGCACTGAGGGAACACTGCCAGGAGGGTCCTTAACAATCAGAACCCCACAGTTGGGGATTAACCTGCCGCAAAGCTCGACATCAAACTCTATATAGCCAATGTAAGGGATGGAGAGACCATTTGCAGCCCGGAGCTGTAACCAGTGACAGGATTGCAAACGATCAGGGCCCCAAGATTCAAAATGTTCTCGGAAAAAGCTTTCAGTCACCGTGGAGACCATTGAACCAGTGTCAATTAAACAGGAGACCTGTACCCCGCCTATAAACACATCTAAATGTGGACATGGGGCAACAATGTGAGGTGTTCTCCCTACACGGTCTAGTGCTGCCTGAGAGCCAGTGACAACCCCACCCGAGCTGCGACTCAACAACTCGGTGGGTTCTAGTTTTCCGAGACCGCAGGGGGCTGGATCTGGGGGTTACGCTGGTAAGGGCCTTGCGATTGAGAACGGGATGAAACGCGTACCCCATCACATTCCCGTGCATAATGACCGGGTTGTTGGCATCGCCTACATATTATTGGAAGGTTTGCTGGCGCGCGACTGCGTGGGTAAGGTTCACGAAGGGAAGCAACAGTCCTTGTAAGCTGATCTAATTGCTCTTGTTGCTGGACTAGCATTTGGTGCATTTCACGCAACTCTGATCCCTGATTCGGCAGGGGGGCCTGATGGGAACCCTGCACCGCAAACTGAAATCCCAATGAAGGCACGGAGTGGCTGCGACCACGCGCACCCCCTGGTAAGGCTTCCCTCTCCCACCGTATAGCTTCTGCCCTAACCTCCAGTAGAGCGGTTGTGGGCGAGCGACGTACAACCTGCTTTAACTCTCGCCTTAGGGACCCATCCAAAACGTGCTCTACAAACTGATCCCTCAACAACACATCAGAATTTAACACATTATTGGGTGCACGTGCCTTAACCTTCTCCATTAAGCCCATTAATGCCAAGGAAAACTCCTGAAGGGTTTCACCCTCCTGCTGCTTCCGTGAAAAAAACGCTTCTTGGAGTGAAACATAAGACTCTGTGCAACCATACAACTCCTGGAGAATAGCAATAATGCGATCTGGGTCAGACCTATCTGCAGCGGACCGGTATCTAATCTCATCTCTAGCTTCTCCCTCCAGGTGATCATATAGAAAGAAAGCCCTATCCGCTGAAGAAAGGTGCCGGGCCCTCATGCACGACTCAGCCTCCTCCAGCCACTCTCCAAGTGCCAATCCCACCCTGCCTCTAAACATAGGGCATTTCCGGTCTCGAGGCACCAGCAACAACCTATCTGTCACTGCAGGGTGTACTGCAGGGGGAGCAAAGGAGGCGTTTGAGGTGGAAGGATTACTGGTAGATAGCTGGTCTCGGCGCAGTCTGTCATTCTCTGTCCTTAATTGGGCAATCAGTTCCTGTAGACATTCAACATCGTCCGCCATTTCCACCAGTGGGCCACGTAGCGTTCTCACTGTTGTTTTGCCTGAAATGCACCAACAAAAAACTAAA